TTCGCCGCGTAGGGGTTGACAGCCTCCGGCTTGTTGCTCCAGACCCCGCAGCACTGGATTCAGCTCCCGGGTCCAATCGCGGCATGGCAATGGCCGGCGATTGACTCGATTCGGTCATAGGCGCATCCTCAGGCCCACGCACACTTCCGGATTCACCGCCATTCAGCTCCATGCCAATCCGGCCCTCTTGAGACATCTTGGACTATGATGAGCAACAAAACTCCAAGTGATTGAGCCACCAACACTTGCGCTCAGCGTAATGGAGGGTGCCCCACACTTCCGCACCCACAGCACAGCAAAAACTCACGTCCGGGTGCGGCGATGGCGATGCCGTCGATCGATCCCGACTTCCCAACCTCCAATCCTCGAATCTGCTTCCCGCGCACTTCCTGCCAACGTGGTTGTCGCCCCGGCTTGTGCCTCGGCAAGGCTGCTCTGCTGGCCTTGCCTCCGACGCCCAATCATCATAGCCAGAGGCTCCGAAACCAATTTGTCGATGCGGTCCCCCCTTGGCCGCGTCCAAGTACCCTGGCCCGCGCTCTAGGGCCTCTCCGGTGGAAGTGTGGTTGTCCTTGGCTGGACGGCGTGTCCCGGGCTCTCTCTGGCCTATGGGTGACGGCCGCTCTGTGCGGTCCCATCCGAGGTGTGCGGCTGCTGCGCTCGAGGAGGCAGGGAGGCTCCAGAACAATCGATCGAACTACAATCAGCGTGGCCGCGCACGCTCTTACATCCCACGGCACACAATTCCATTAACGCCCATTAAACTCATTAATTCCATTATCTCTAGTGGCCGGGGGCTCCGCCCTCGGACCCCCCTGTCTTGCAAGTACTTTTCGGGGCCTACGCACGGCCTCGCTTTGCTCGGTCGAGCTTGGCCCCCTACAGGACCTCGCAAGACACAGTCCCACGAGCAATTCGCCAAACCAAGTGCACGAAATTACCACACCGATCCTGGCATTACACTCGGCAAATTTACATCAGTCACAAAATTGCACAACCCTAGAACACCTGAAAAACCTAATCCTAATCAATTGTTCATTGGCCATTACTGTGACTGCCATACGTGGCTGATGAGTCACGGCCAGTATTGTGTAACTAACTTTATAGCTTACTGCCAAGCCAAGCTCCCACACACAGGCAGTTTACCGACAGTGAGCTGCCTATGATAATGCCCACGAAGGCAGCACAAAGTGAGCAAAGTTGCACTGAATTGTGTGCAGTTCCAGAAACCAACTTGTAACCCAAGAGGGGCCTTTCAGTAGCCCGGTCACACTCACCCCTAAACTGTGCACGCCTATTTCGTTCTGAGTTCCAAAGGAAACTAAGCTGACCCTTTACTCATGCCAATTCCTGGGCCAATCCTGCCAATTGCAGAGAATCCCCCCACATGAACGCACTCACAGTACTGCGAGCCCAAGTGTACGCTCTACGGATCAGTCCTGCGAGTTTCCTATTCAAGCATGACTGATATACTATCAGGTCAAAGTACAGTACGGCCAGAAATGCTGAACCAACTGTTTGCCAGACTTGCTTTAGTTGTTCAGCGTTACCAAAACACTAGTCCAGTACGTGTCTTTCAACCTAGAGTTTGTTGTGTCATGCACAGTGACTAGGATATCATCAATGTATCTTCTGACGTCCAGAATTGCACTGTCTTTACGTGCACTCAGCACAGCTCAATTATCGTCAATTCTAGTTGATAATTCTACCCAGCTCTTGCGCAATTGCTTAGCTTGATTCTCAGTGATTGAATGCCTCTGATGTCCCTGATTATCCCCTTGTCTCTCTCCCTTCACAGGAGCAGGAGGGCACTCTATAGTACTGGACTTAGTGGCGGGCGTCAGCGCTCGAGGGTTTCTACTGTGTTCGTCAGAGCCCTTTTCGATATGACTCATGCCTTAAAATCTTACATTGGACAGTATTTAGAGAAAAATGAGAGAGGTTTGTATGTTGCCAATCTTGTAATAAATTCGCGCTATTTCCAATCTCTACCCCTCTCCAGTACTGGACCTTACTGAGGCAGTACTTTGTCAGCTGCTGACTGACCCTGACTAAGCGCGGAATTGACTCAACTTTTCCTTACCTTTATTACTTACCTTCCTTCCCTTTATGTTCAATCAAGCGCTGACCAGCTTGTAATCTGGCGAATTACCACCTCCAATCGCTGTCACTGATTGATGTCTGAGCTGTTATAGTAGGTATATATCTTCTTGGACTCTGCACTTTAATCTTTACTACAGTACTTTAGTGGGAGCCCCGAAGGCTTCCCCACAGAGTACCGGGCTGGATCTGGGACCCCGTAGGCTTCCCCAGTAAATCCAAACCAAGGGAAATTAGCTGAATATACAGCCGGTTTGGGGCCCCGCAGGTTTTCCCAATAGACCGGGCTGTAGTTTAGCTTATATTCCCTTTAGTTAGACAAGAGATGAACAGAATCCAAAATTAAATTACAGTGTGATTCTCCACAAATCACGACCTGTATTACAATTATTAGTTCAGGTTCCGTTTCCAGGTTCCTTTGCCTATTGGCTCAGGAGCTGGTCGGTTCAAACTCGCTTGTCCAAAGGGGTTCCCACCCCGCTATTTATACCCCACAGCCACTGTCCCCACGCCCAAGAGCCCCCAGAATATTCCCCAAAGATTCCGTTCATCCCCTACCAGCTTCCCGGATCATCCCTTCCCCGTCTAATCAACTTCCCGCTCAAACCCGCGATCCGCCACTTGTCACTGTCCCTAACTTCACTATTCAGCCCCCAGAACCAATCTATTCCCCCATCATGCAGCCTGGGTCAAATCATCAGCTCCTTACTCTTCCCTTAGTATTCCCGTATTCTCCTCCCAGTATCCTTATTCACTACTCATTGAATCGACACACATGCCACCCCACCTGATTCAACATTTGGAACTGCATGTCACTTTCCTTATCACAATTCAGACCAGTATGATCAGTTATCACTCATCGCCATTTCCTTATTGTCCAATCAGTGGTATCTATTTCATTATGATCAGTGGTACCTCAGACAAGTCTTGGCATCACAGCCCAATCATCTCCACCGTTCTCAACGTACCCATCATTGTCAGCGCTTGGGTCCATGTCCGTCTCCATGTCGTCGTACACCAGCAAGTCCGCCTCGTTGGCGTTGTCCTCGATCACGACATAGCCCCTCCGCGCTTCTCCAGCGACCGTCGCCATCTCCGCCTGCTCCGTGTCGACTCCAGCCGCTGCCCTTCGCCATCAGCGACGTCCTCAGCGCCTCCTGACTCTGCCCCACCACCTGCTGCCCGGTCGCGCATGCCCCAAGCCATCCGCCGCCTGCGATCACCTGATTCCATCCTCGCCCGCTTCCCCATGCCTCCGCAGCGGGCGCCAGCGCCTCGGTCGCGCCCACCATCGCTGAGCAGGCCTTCCAATCCAGCACCTCGCCTGGCCTTCCGTCATGCCACGGACTCCAACATCCCTTGGGGCCATCGTAGGTTCGCCTGGGCATGCAAAGTCCACGCATGGCGCGACGAATCACAGCCATGCGAGCAGCACCGCCACGTCAATTCGACTTCGCCATCGTCACCGTCCTAGCACCTTGGCAGCCTCGCTATCGCAGCCACGTTCGAGTCCATCGCTGCAAGTCGCCACCATCGTGCGTGCGCCTCAGAGGCGCCCCACAGCTCGGAGTCCAAGGTTGTCGTACGACATCGAAGGCAGCCATGACACATGACACATTGCGGCAGCTGTGGGAGCGCACCCAAGGTACGAGATGGTACCCGTGCATCCGTCCGTATTAGGTTGACATGAGTGGCGTGCACTCCACTCAAGGGTGTGACGTGAAGGGTGGCGCGGGCATAGTCACACATGACAGCCCGTCAGGCTGTCATGTGAGCGACCCAACACTAAGTTGAGGCCAAGCCTGGCCCATGACGGGCATGGGCAACCTACGGCCACTTGCCATAGCGCTGAAGTCATATCATAAGACAGCATCAGGTCTATTCTTGGGGTGCCCATGGCTCAGCAAATTTGCACCCAATCCCAGCAACGCGTCACCGTCAAGGCGAGCTATTCCAGGCAGTTGAAACCTCGTTTTAACAAACTACACATCACATTCCATCAAGGCCTTTCCCTTTGCTGTCATACGTTCCTGTTCATCGTATTGACATTATCCTACGTCTATTTCAGAGAGTGATGGACTTGTCTGAGCTATCCCTGATGATCCTGCTCATCTTCTGGACGAGTGATCAGTAATCGAAGCCAGCCGTCCCTTCAGAATGTCGAGGTGCGCGCGCCATACAGTTAATGAAGTCGATTCTGTCCATCTTTGAGGTCAACTCCAGGTACACACTTTTAGAACTGACAACAGCGATTCCGACACACAGTGCTTCTGGTTGCCTAGCCATCCAGCATTTATGCTGCCTCACAATCACCAAGTTGAGGTCTTCATTCGAGCCGTGCTGCCAATATTCCGCCAGAAGTAGCCATGCTTTGTATAACATCAATGCCCTTACTTTTGTTGACATCGTTTCCAGCACCCAGCCAACTAAAGCGCGTCTTTTACAGCTTCATCTGACTGACCATCTTTTCATCCTTATCAGCGTTCAACTTTGAGTCTCTTTCTTCTCTTCCTGTTGACATGCTGACAAATTTCACGAGATATGTCACGTTTACATCAACCATCTGGCCGATACCTTTCTTTTCTATGTTCATGGTTTCTTATCCGAGCAAAGTGGGTGCTTCACGATTAGCTTTCATGATTGCATAATGTTGTAGCATACCATGAGTACAGCCTGTCACTAAATATATCCACCATGCGGTTATTTCTTATCAGAATCCCACAGCCTCCAATCGCACACACCATTCACACTTGAATAACCTTTACATTCGATTAAAACTTTCCTTGTTCCTTCTTCCCGTCAATTGCCAATGTCCCCTTCCAGTTCCTATCGTCCATTTCAAGTACACTTAACCTGCCCTAGTAATTCACAGCCTTAGAACCATTCCGATCAGCAGCCCTTCAGCACTTTATGGACACCTTCTTTCCTCCATAATCCTCACACTTCCCGTTCAGCAGAATCATCAAGCTTGCACTTGTATTATCTTCATTTACCAGCCCGCAAGCCTATCACAGCAGCATTCATGTTAATGCCCTTTTTTATAGTCACACCCAGTTCAATCAGCATTAGAGATCATTATTCTCCAATGCCAATCATTATATTTAACACAACCGAAAAACCTAAAAAGCTGGTCATGTACCGGTCTTTGTCCCTGTGCCAGTACTGGTCTCAGTACTGGCCCCCGTCTAAGTCCCAGTCTGGGTTCAGGCCTCATGCCTGCGTATAGGTAACATTGCCATATGTGGGCCATGGGGGACGGGGACAGAATGACATTATTGGGGAGATGATGGTCGCATTGTGGTGTCTGTGTTGTGTGTGTTCGTTCTTGTGACGAATGCTTGCAAGGGGGCCTCCTAGTGCTGTGGGTGCCTTTGATGGCACCCATTTGCTATGGTGCGCAATACATCTTGAAGAGGTGGAGCCTACAGGCTTGTGGGAATGTGAGGGCCACTTGAGTTGAACAACGCTGCGCTGGGAATTCGGAATCGCAGAGTTTGGCTCACATAGATGACTCCACTGGGATGCTTCTGATGCAAATTGTATACAGTTTCACATTGACAGTGTCAATCCACTACTTTGCGTGAAACCCATTGACCACATTGTCAAAAGCTGACAGAAAGGCCCAGGTGACTTGAAGGTGATGAAGTCCAATGTTTTGCTCGAGGATTCCCAAAGCCGCAGATGGAATAGAATGAGGCAACCCTCTTGTCAAGAAGGAAATATTGCCGCCTTCACCAGCAGCAAATGGAAACAGCATGTGCACAAAGCCTCTTCAACCTGAGATCACGCACATGTTTGGTGAGGTGTCTACAGGCGGTTCTTTGAGCTTTTTGGAAATGGAGACCCTTGGTGAAGTCACAAAGCAAATCAACTTGAGAGTGACTGCGATTGGACAACATCTCATGCCATGCAAAGCTCCATGAAATTTGTTACAAATGCTAATAGACTTTTCAAGTCAACGCAATTACACACGTCTTGTAAGTCTGTGTAGCTACAATTGCTGCAGTTCAAGGTTGCAGGTGGGCAGATAGTGCATTTCGAAATATCCCCTGTGAAGCCCAAGCGTGCACTGCATGTGCCCCAACATTGTGTCAAGTATTCTGAAGGAACTGTTGGTCAACATGTCGTGGAGAAGGCAAATGGCGTCAAGGTTCTCCCACCCTAACTGGGCCCACAACCTGACACCGGGCCCAGTGACCAACAGCTGCAGGCAACACAACATGACTGCAGTTCATGCCTTCATACATTGCCAGTCCATGCCTTGTCCATCCATTATGCAGTTTCCGACTTTCTACAACCGAGACATGGGAAAAGGTGCAGCTCTCCCCCTTTGCTGCACTAGCTTCTCATAAACAAGCTGCAGCACGCGATGCACCTCTGACAGGCCTTGTTCGCCACCAGCCTGTGACACATGCAGCAAGCTAACGTCGCCAGTGTTCAAACCATACTTTTCCGCCAACCTCGATGCCACAGCCTCTCCCTAGGAACAGCAGAGCTTGGTTAAGGACCAAACAGTGCGGGTCATAAAACAAAACAACAAAGGCGATATGGTGTGACTGGCAGTTCTCCACATTGGCAGCGGGGAGCAGGAAATGAACACATCGGGGACCGGGCACTTGTGATTTTGAGCAGAGCTCGAAATCACCTGGTATGTTAAAGGGCGATGACTTGCTACAATCTGATGAATACAATCAGACAATTTACACTGCCTGTGAATGTCTGTGGGTATTGCACAGTGATATTCCACTAGTGATATTCCACTGGTGCAATGTTTTATCACTGGCAGATTCACTCAAACGTCCTGAGAGCTGCCGGAGACAAGCACAGCCCATTGGACAAGGGCTGGACAGGCATGCTGGCGCCAGATGTTGTCAGTCGTCACAAGTGCGAACGCAAGTTGTTGGAAAAGCAACGTGTGTCAGACCCTCAAGACAGAAGAGGCTTCTGTGCACAATGCGGTGGGCCACTTTGCAATCCTAACAGCGATTGTCCATAGAGCACAATAAGGGGCAGCCAGCATTCATACGAAGCATGCAGATCCCCTTGCCTAGGCGATCAAGCGATGCCCACCTGGGTTGTATTTGCGGGTACTTGCAATAGATATGCACAGCAATACCTTCAGGAGGAGAACTGCAGGCTATGTTGTGCGCATGGCTGGCTACAGAGCAACCTGAGCAGTGTCTGTTCCAGGGACCAATAAAGTCCAACGAAGTGGAGGGCAGGATTCCCCTTGTTGGACTGGTGCTGTAATGTGTGTCTGTCTGTGCTGAACAGTCAATGGTGCAACACCAACACCCCACATTCCTTTTCAATCCCCCCACCCCCCCTCTTCCCAATTGTATTGCTCTTTTTCCCGTGCACATGAAGGGAAACATGCATTTACAACAATCATCCAATGTTTTAATTTTTCCGTTGGCATGATACGTGGCATCGAGCATAGCAAGAATACAGAACTAGATCTATTCAACAAACATAAGTAGGGGAGGTCCCCACAAAGCATTGAGCACATGCTCTCTAGCCAAGCTCACAGGGGGCAAGACAGACAAAGGCAAATATCATCATAGGTTTCTTCAGCTCTGGGTAAGAGAAGGGACCAAACCATATGCTTCACATCCAGTGTGGCACTATTGCTATCAGCGCACCACTCCGTTGACATGGCAATAGAGTTTTCGGACGGTGCGTCATCCGCACGTCTTGAATAGTGCAAATGGTAGCTACTGGTCATAGTGCAGTGAACGCCATGACCATGTCGTTACACAATGCTTTACACAAGCAATTGTGCAAGATATGATTCACCTCATCATCCCCTTTTTGTCTTCCCAAGCTGTCGAAAATTTCGTACAAGTTTAAACAGATGGAAGCGAAATGAATAAACGTTCTCAAACAATGTGGTGGTAAATACACCCACCATTTTCTGCAAGCGCAAAAGCTCAAGGGCAACGACTGTCATATTTGTCATGTTCAAGTAGCACATTCAGTCCAATGGATTATCACCTTATCATAGGGGACGCCCTCTGCTGGATCTACCACGGCGATCATGACCCATACAGACACTGCTCTGGCATCGTCAACCATCTGACGCAAAGCCTGAGCTTGCCTTCTTGCCAGGTCTGGCTTTTCCATGTCATGGACCAGAATGAGTCCACAGAGTGGCACATGCCAGCCCAAATGTGACAGATCCCCATGTCGCTCCCCTCTGCGCACTTTGCGAGCCGTTGTCAAGGGGATCCTGTTCCACAGGTTGCTAACAAGCTTGGCCAGCTGCAGAATGGCACTGCTTGATGAGCCAACGTCGTCGTTAAAGATGTGACTGGCCTGCACAGATCAATATGAGTGAAAAACAAAACGATCCAGCAAGGTTGCGCAGGAACCAAAGGTTCACCCCAGGACTGCAGCGTGTTTCTGTCAACGCTCCAGGAATGAAACCACCCCCAAGCAGTTGCACAGAAGATGCCATCATTCTACATCACAGCCTTGCTGCCCATGCAGATGTGACACAAATTTTCTCCACTGCAAATTGGAAGCCCACATCGAATGATTTTGTCCAAATGTGGCGATTACAGCACTTGCACCCCACTGACTTCGCCACAATCGTGTCTCTACCCTAATTTCGTCCCCTTCAAGGGAAGGCAGCTGTGCTACCTTACGGCAAAGTAACCACCCACACCAAAGCCTGTGTTAGGTTCCCTGGGGTAAGCCACAAAGCTCAATGAGCACCTTTGCAGTGAATCAAGGGGGAGCCACCAAAAGAAGGAGGAAAGCAGACTCAAGCCAGGGACTGAAGCTCCAACCCTTGGTGAGAGAGCCAATTGCTTTAAACCACCAGCCACTTGACCCCCCACCCCACCCCACCCCACCCCCCTCTCCCTGTGGCAAAACCATTTGCTCCCTTTGTGCCTAAAGATATTGCAGATGGATTGTTGACACATGGCTGTTGTATGTGGACGCATCAGACAGCACCACAACACTACTCTGTGGCAATACGTCATTCAAAAAGAAACTGTCAAGAACAAACACGCACACACACATCTACCTTCACCCCTTCATCACCGTGGATTCGCTCTGTGCGAGTGGGCAATGTTCTGAAATTATTTACACACCACTTGAAGTGACAACAAACAGGCATGTGGCGACAATCATGAACAGATTGCTGTGGTGGGCACACTTTGAGCAGGCTCAACGGCCAGTGAACTGTGCATAAGTGCCTGGCCTTGGTCATAGCCTCACCTTCAGCAGCTGCCTCACTGTGTCAATATCCTCCAGGAAGCTGGCATCACTCTGCACACCATTGACATACATGACTCCTGCATGCATCACAGTCCGGTCCACCTGCCCACTGCCTGGTTTACTGCCCCACTGCCCAGGAGCAGAAACATGCTCCAGCTGCAAGCATGAACCTTCAGAATGTTCTGCCTTCTTTGCATCATCCCTGAACACATAACTTTGTTGGCTGACACCATCAGCAGCACAATAATCTGGGCGTTGGGGATACTGCACGGGAGAAAGCAATGTCAAATTTCGTGTGGCTGTTGCTGGACAGTTTGCAACCCAAGGCTGCAAGGTTGAACACACATTTAAGCAAGCATCGTATGCATTGGCCTGTTCACATGTTCTCCCCCAGCCACAGGCAGAGTGCTTTTGGAATGCACTGGAATTTTGTAACCCTTTGCAGCCACAAAAAGAGTTCTCCATGTTGGGTTGGGGTCGCCATTTGCTCTTTTTCAGCCACCTGGTGGGGCCCTGCACAGTACCCGTGGTCCCATTTGGTCCACGTTTCTGACTGTAGGCCTCCAAAGCGTCAAGGAAAAACGAACAGGCCTTGTGGCTTTGTCCAAGGATCATCACCGGGCGGCCAGTGACCTGGACAGGGACAGAAAACTTCCCAAAATCGGACAGTGCTGTCAGTTCTATGCTTCTTGCTGCTTCAATGCCGTGAAGCACTTCTGCAGGCAACTTGACCTCTGCAGTATGCCAAATCCCCTGAGTGAAGCCATCAGTTCCTTCTGTGCTTGGCCCAAACCATTGCTGAAATGCAGTGCCAATCCCTGTAGGGCGTTTCCTGAGAAGCACGACTCCTGTAGAATCACTTCAACAGTTTCAAAGGCCCGTCACCATCTAACAGACCAGGTCACTTGCAAGCCGGGCAGATATATCATCCCAGTCAACTTGCCTTTGCAACAACTGCCAAGTGAGCCAGTGCAGCGACTCTCCTTTCACAGAAAAAAAAAAAAAAAAAACGCCATACATTTGGCAACCTTGTCCTGAGCAGCTTAACTACAGCAGATGATGAACAGTGTCAAATTGACAACGGGACAGCATGTAATGCAGAGCAATGTTCCTTCATGAACAAGAACTGGACTTTGCCAGTTCCCCTTTTGGAAAATGCAGCTGTCAGCGTTGAAGATGTGGTGCTACAAGCATCTTCAGCAGCAGAATCAGAGACAAGAGTTGCAATAGAGCAGGCCAAACTCTGCAAGGGGCACATTGACCTGCCCAAAATATACTAGCATAATCTGTACACATCCTTTTGGACTATGATAAACGAATGTAGGGGCCATGAGACTGGCCACCAGAGAGATCTGTTGCTCACTTTGATCCCATCGGTTCTCTTTCTGTGGAATGCCCACGACTGCACTCTTCCAATAACCGGGCCAAGGCTTGCTTCTGTCGATGTCAAGTTGCACTGCAGATGATGTGTCAATGTCACCTCTGACATCGACCTCCAGCAAACTGCCTCGACCACCACCTCCAACAAAAGAATTTACAGCACCCCTCAAACGACTCCATCTTGAGTTTGGCATGCTGGGGATCGTTTTGTCACTCTCTGTCCATCGTCCCCTCACTGAGTCTGTGCGTGCAGCAGTAGTGGTCTGTGTGGTGGTAAACCTCAAGTCAGGAGACACTAGAGGGGACAGTGCTCTTGCTTCGATTAATCCTAACTGTGGATAAATAAACTCGCTCAACTCCACATCCGCATGCTTTGCAAGCCTCGCTTGGGGATGAGCGGTGTTTCCAGTTGCCAGTCCTTGACAAAGAATGTTGAAAACAGTGGTTCTGCAATTTCAAACGCAAAGATGCATCAAATTCAACATGGCCACATTGGCTCACACACACACATTCACAAGGCAATCGACACCACGTCGATGGCCAGCATCACCCCACAATACCCTGCTCACAAGGTACACAAGAAGGCAATGTCCTCACAATGACTGCTTCCACACTAGTCCACTTCTGTCCAGTATTAATTGTTGTCTATTTGAAAGAAAGATTTTGTTACAACAACGGCATCTGAATTACAAAAGGAGACCAGGACTGGAAGACTGGGTCCCAAAACCCTTACCTACCAATTTTCAAGAAGACAAAGTGAGTCTTGACCCCTTTAAACGTTGGGCGAATGCAAAGTTTTGGTCGTTTTTGAGCGAGAAATTCACGGTTTACTGGGCAGATGATCTTCGCTACAAAGTGGTGCCAAATCCAAAATGTTCAACAGACGGACAAGGTATTTTTCCCGTATACTCCAAACTCATGGACATAACTTTGCACAACATTTCATCTAAAATGGAAGTTCTGAAAATAGAGAACTACTGGGTCAAAATCATAGGCAACAATTAATATGGGACAGAGGAAGTATGTGGAAAGGGGCCAGATCTTTCGCTGCTCCAGGCACTTGTGTGGCTGCATAACACCTCCCATTCACCGCAAAGGCCAACATCATACAATACAATGCCGGCAATGGTTTGCAGTAAGCAACAGCACTTGAACTGTCCCAAAAACGAACAGCCACTGCAAGAGGTTGTTGTAAGCAGGCAATGATCCTAATCTCATGTCGCCGTTGCAATGCACAGCAATTGACTGCTCGTGCAAAGCACTAGCAAAGCTGTCACTTGTTGTTGACTCTTGCGGTGAGTCGCTATTTGTCATACCTTGTTGGCTGCCTCAACAATTTACACACTGTGGGAGCCTGGCGTACCTGTAGGTTGTCATCCTGTGCGACAGGAGCATCTCCCATATTGAGCTCTGCATTCTGTTGTCATCAGCTGTGGCTGGCATCTGAGAATGCTCCTGCTGTCCTTGCGTTACCCCCCAAGGATGCAGCCATAGCTGGCGGCCCAGTGCTTCATACCTTGGGACCTCCACAATGCACAAGCAACTACTCAAAAGGTACGCAGGTGGAAAAGGACAAAATGTATGCACTGGTTATAAGGTTTGCCGCACACAACTGTGCCTGCACCAACTGTACACCAATCTCATCGCACAACACGGAACACAAGTGGCAGGCACAGTTTCAGCAATGCCCAATTGAGCCATACAGTATTCCCACATCACCCTTCTCCTCTCCACAGCAGAACTGTCTATGGAACCCCAGGATAGTAATGTGTGTCCCTGTTGGGTACAAGTAAATGATGGCAACAGAGGGCACATGACATGCACTGAGCACCCCTCCTCTGAGCAGAAGTCCTTGGGATCTTTCCGCCTGATACCAGGTATAATACAGTGGTTTGTTTGATACCAATGCATCCCACCTCAGTTGCAAAAGCAAACCGCACACTACTTTTTGTCCTTCCAGGCATTCCACTTTTTGCAGCTGCCATCAGAATACTCCAGGACAACAAATCAAGAACACAAACAGAGCCTTGAATCGTCTTGAGATCACGCTTGCCAAAAAATCTAACAAAGCACTCCTCTGCAAAGTGATGTCACGCCTGTTCCAAACACAATTTGTTTGGTATCTTGTCATTCATAGTACCCCTTCACCATCGACCAGTTTGTTTGTTAAAGAAATGGCCCCACCAGTTTGGGAGTGTACACCCTCGTCTGTGCAGCCTTTGCTGCTGTCTGTATTGCCTCCAACAGTTTGCGCCACGACTTTTCTTCGACTTGCTCAGTCTCTGCCTTGTTGCCATCCTCATGCTCCTTATCAGTCCCTCTTGCTGACTGCTGATGGGGTGGACTATCCATGCTCTGCTCACCAGCTTTGGGCATCCCTGCCTGCCTCGCTATACCCTTTGGCTTACGATGAATGTAGGCAGCAAGGTTCACCACAAGATCTCCTGATAAGAAAATAGTTCGGTCAACCAAAAGGCACTGCTGTAAAACACACAGTGACTGCTTTTCCTTATTCGCATTGCTTTATATGCACTGCAGCATTTGTGTATCCTTAAACACCCAGTCACCTTTTGCAAGTGCCATGGGACACTAATCAGCAACCACATACTTCAGTATTGAGCATTCACCAATGATGCAAGAAACCACAGCCCAGAGTTCTGAAAAATGAACTTGCAGAGATCTTTGAAACATTATGAGCGTGAATAATTGCCAGGCGACTTCTGTACAGCATGTCAACCTTTGCAGTGCCCCAGCTGGTTATCTGGTGGGAGGCCACATAACCAGCCCCATAGAAAGGTATAATCCGGAATGAATAATGCTCCACCATATGACACACTTTAAAACAACACTTCTACATACAATGTTACCACAACAGCACTGTTACTTGAAGTAACAACGAAGCTGGGTTTTGTAGGGCAAACACAGACAATGTCTACTGAAGCTTGCACACTTGCCTGGAGTCCTGTAGTTGGTTAGGCACGTGTCCCAACCACGCAATGTGGCAAGCCGTGCCATCGATCCATTGGCCACAGGTGGGCATGCAAAAGTTATGCATTTGATTTGCTCAGGAAGCACAGGGTCGCAGTGTTGCAGAAGCAAGAGTGTGCTCAGCAGCGCCACAGCACCACCTAATGAATGGCCTGCACAAAACGGACACACAAAGTGCACAAGTTGAATTCATTGACAAATACATTCAGAGCCACTAAGCATGCTACCGCAATGACTCTTATTTGTACGACCTATTAACCCAGCAACCAATAAGCAATATCCCGAATTAACCCATGGGATCCTCCCACAGTGGCAGCACCCATGTGCCCAAATTTTTGTTAGGCACGTATTTGACTGTGAAACAAAGCTCGGCTCGCATTTGTTACCCAGTGGGCATAAGCAAAGAGCATTGAAAGAATTCCTATGCTGTAATCACAAGTTCAGTTGTTACAATGTACGGATGAAGTACTGGAGGCAGCAAATCAGTTCTGTCTGCAACATTGCAAAACAACAACAACATTTTGTTTGGACATTGCGCTAAGAAAATCATTGCTGTGGCTCAGCAATTATGCCATTAACGTGCACAGCACGGCTAAAAATTGCCACCAATAACAAGATGAAACAAAGCATGGGCACAGCCACTCCGGAGTTAGAATTGTGAAGTGGACCACTTTTCTGTGCAGTGAATGATGAGACAGAATGCTGTGAGTGTGAGTGGAACAGCACACCACACAAGGCCCAAGCCAGCTGCGGGCACACAGAATAATGTACCACAAAGTACCAGACGTTGTCCCTTGTCCAAGACTTTCTTCCAAAGTGCAAGCAAAGGAACCCGGCGAGCCCTCTCCAAAAAGCCACGATGCACTGCTGGTATCCCCTGTCACACAAACAAGGCCAGTGTGAATCAATGGATTACATTCCCCGAAACACAGCACAAACCACTGGCCTTGCACCATAAGGCAATGCTGTGCTTAAATATATTGCTTGCACAATGTTTGTTCATAGTGCATTGCTTGATCATTTCCAAGTAAATCAAGGATTCATTTCCAAGGGCCAGTGTGCAGGTTGTCATTGTGACAGAAAGGAAACATGTCACACAACCCCTTTCCCAACCCCCACCCCAACCCCCTGAAACCATCAGGCAACCACAATGCGGAGCAGCATGAATAGCAAGGACTTGTGAACTTGGAGGCGGGGCTCTTGTGAGCAGGTGCGAAACCCAAAGACCCCAGCATCAAGCGTTCTGGAATAAAATCCTTTGTTGGCAGGCAGTGAAACACAGAGCCTGCTGGCAGCCTTTGATGAAGCAGAGGGCCTTTGGCCCAAGATGCCATTGGATTCAACAGATTGTCAGATTGTGGCACGACAGTGCAAGGTGCTTCATGCAACATGCATCGACACAACAAACAACTGGGGAAGATGGAATTGGATGCTGCTGATATGGCAATATTACAGATCATCAGCAGAACAAGCACAGTCAGTGCATCAACATCGACTTTAACTGCAGTTGTCAGAAAGTGGAAGTAGGGGTGAACAAGAACAGGGCAATGACCATGAACCAACAAAGAAAATTCACAGTTCTTGAAGCAAGGTTCAAGATGAAGGAGACAACATTGTTGTATGACCACAACTGCTGGAGGCATTTGTGTGCAGCACAAATCTTAAACAGATTGTTTCACTACGAATTGTCCATAGTAGTCCATTGTACTGGAGCTATTTGCCACGACATTCCAAAACTAAATGTCTCTGTCAATCATCTACACAAACTATTCAACATATTCTACTACCTCCGTACAAAAAGTAGTGTCCAAATATGTTTTCTTACAATAACCTTTCAAGATCAACACAACTATTCAATCTGACACCAGATTCAGATTCCTTGGTCGATTTCCAATGCATGTGGATCCCCATTACATGCAATCAGCACGATATATCAAGAAATCCAAAGTGCTTTGAAAAGCGGCCCCAGCCACTATTGCACACTCCCTGAGTTCCCCATGCTGTTGGGATTGCCTTATCCCTGTGTGTTCCATCGTGTATCCATTTCCTCCAAACTCCTCAAGTCTATGGTGGTGTCCACTGGGAATCTATCCCTCTCTTGCTAGTACCTACAGCGTTTTTCTGCCACCTGTCTTTGGACACACGCCAAATTCCAATCTTCCCATCCAATTGATGGGCTGGATTTGGCATAGCGTTTGCCACAATGAACATTGTTTTTGGAATGTGGCTCTTGTGTTGGATTGTGGCAGCACGATCCACTACTTTCTCTGCGCAGCAACGTGTGTGCTTGCTGTCCACCATCAAATAAAACCAAGTTTCACCCAAACGGATTGAATTTAGCACGAAATCGTACACCATCCTTCTCTCGTTGGCCTTGTTCTCTACAAACACCCATCTGGCCCACATCTGCTCGGGATTCAGCAACAATTTATCCACCACCGTTTGCGCTTTGCCCCCATCATTTTAAGCAACCTACAAACTGAAGTTTTACTTATGTCAACGACCGAATTCTCACTTTTGCAAGTAATCTACCTTACTGTCCCCCCACGATTCACCTTGTTTGCCTCTACCGAGGTTGTTTTCTTGGTCGGCACCAGGAGGTAAGGTCGTCCTGATCTTGACTCATCTTCAAGATTGATGCTATTGGGCCGATCCGACTATTCCATCGCTCTAGACCACCATCTCTTCACGGGCTTCATTGACACTTTAAATTGGCATGCGATTTCTGGAGCCTTCCCGTTCGGAATGCAATCCCAGAGGCATCCATTGCAAGCACGCACCTGAGGACCAATGCATAGTGCTCCCCCCAATAGCAACTCAACCAATTCCAACCTTCTCAATGGGCGTGACGAGCTCGAAATGGCAGCGACAAACTGCTTGCAATGTTCAAAGTCCTACCTCGGCACGTCGGGGCATAACAAGACAACCACTAGGCTGTTTGTGGCATTCCAAGTCGCTATGGACTGCTCTCATAAAGGTGTGTTAGAGTTGTTTAGGTCATTTTTTCTGACTCCCGTGTTTTGACCTTCGTTTTCATAGAAACGAATTTGGACAATACTTTTGGGACAAAGGTAGTACATGCACAAAACAAACCCAACGCCATTGAATTGTTTGCACTCCAATCAAAGTGCGCTTGCACATTAGGTTTTGCAGGATGCCTGGGTGTCAGAGGATTTCCCCAGGTATTGGGCCAAGTTTTCATAACGCAACGAATTGCACATTGCACAATGCACCAAGTGAGGTATATTTGATATTCAGGCACGCAACCTGTCAAGTGGATGGAATTCTCAGACTGAAACAATATGCGTTGGGCATAATACGTTGGGCATGAACTTTGTGCACATACCCCAGCAAGTTGGTTGATCTCTATGTCATGGGTCCACAATAGAGCTTTCTGCAGATTGGCATCGACTACAATGTCCCGCAGTTGTTTTGTGCCCATGAAACAAACATACAATGCGCCACTCCCCTCCGCTAGAAGATACCTGAAGCAGAAGCAGGATAGTCTTCATACTCTTAAGCTCAAAGCATATACACACATACACACAAATAGCGCAATCGTCATCCAACAAGATGTCACATAAGCCAATTCATTTCTGCATCTATTCGCCACGACCATGTTCACGAGATGTGGTTTGTTGCCATAACTATTTCAAATGCTTTGACAGCTGCAAGGGTCCAGATGATCATATGCATGGATAGGAGATAGAAATCAGTGGTTCATACATGGTTTTAGCTTTAGTTTTGGTACCCAGGGTATCCAGGGAGAAAATTTGGGAGTTCATATTTGTGGCATGAATTTGAAGTTACTACAAGGCCTTAATGCTAACATTGAAGGTGCAAGGGCAGTGCAGTGCAAGTTGTCCACACTGCAATCAAACCAGCTGGCAACATCAACAAAGATCCAGGGCTGCAAAGAACAGAGTTTATACCTCCTTGATGGTTTTCTGGGTACCATGTAATCCTTCATAAACACAGGGTTGGTTGTTTATTGCGGCATTCAATGATGAAGCAGTACAACAAGCCAATGTCATCCTCTTCAGGGATAAGGATCCATCCAAAACACAATACACACCACTGAAGGTTACTGCGCAGATTTGCAGTCCGCATCGCAAACGCCCTAACACTCTGCTTTGGGGATTAATACTTTACATTGTTTGCTCGAGGCACAGTATGACAAGTTTCCTTTTGCTGTCAAACTGACAATCTTCACCTTCTATGTTGGATGAGCAGCACCTGGCAACCTCAACTGCATCCAGCATGTTGTACTTTTATTGCCCTGGGAAATACAGACAATGCCAGATTTGACATTGGTGCATTCCCACAACCAACCAAAAATCAGAGGTACATGAGGGGAGGGATCTTTATTGGCGCTACAGATATATGCGCCCATGCAGCAGTGCATTGTCACCTGCACCCCTCCAAAACAAGTTTGCGATTCCTGGGTTTGAGATGGAGCCCATGAAGGCATTATTGGGAATACATACTGAAGTTGCAAAAGTACCCCTGCCTTTGAAGATGCTAGGGTGCTGCTTGTCATGTTCTTTTGACAATTGCAATCCAGAGATCTACAAGCTTTCAAGGTGCATGGGCAGTGTTTGTCGATTTTCACCCAAGGGAACAACACAGAACAACACATACATTCACACCTGGACACAAACACCGCCGAATTTTCTATCCACTCATGAGGACACCCCAAGTGAGAGTCCATGGTTCTGGTTTATTGCATGATCCATGCTTTTGGTTTCAAACTTGTTCTCAGTGGCTCCACAGCGCAAAGCCAAGTTGGCCCGACGCATTATTCCCAAGGGTGTGCCCTACTGCAAGACGTGTTCCAGACTTCACATACAGCTCAACGATGCACACCTGTGGGGCACCCATTCCGCTGCACACTGGATGCAATCCAGATGCACGACACCAGCGGGGAGGCCCTGCAGTGCGTCGTTCACGGCCTTCACCACGCGCTGCTCCCCACCCTCCAATTGCTTGTAGACGCACTCACTCAAGACGCAGCAAGCCAGCAGATCCTGATAACAGGAATGCAAAAGGGCAGTGAACAAGAACGCCACATTCGTGCGCAGCACAACCATGCCGCAGCGTGCTTCAATGCACCTGGATTTCTTGACCGTTTTGCACTCCCAATGCGTCGGCGATTGCCGCTGGAGGCTGGGCTTGGCGTGAGTCTTCCCCTTCGCGGGATGCCGCCTTTGCTCCCGGCAGCCAACGCCCAAGAGCAGCAGTCACACCACCGGGCTTCATGCCGCGCGGCCTTCTTGGCGCCGCTCAAGCAGAACGACTCATGCCTGCCCGCAACGGGTTCATTGCCACAGTTACAACTGTTACCAAAATTCGAATTTGGCATCTGGCACTACAATCCCCAAACGCCGTTCGAAGCCCTCACTAGTTAGCTGCACGTTCGAACAGTTTCTTTGCTTATGTTGAACAAATGAATGAAACAATACACAAACAAAACGAAAGCAGTGTTTCAATTTCTGAACAAAGCCTGTCGAACATATCCGCACTGTCCGCCGCACTGCACGATGGCCATTACTCTGTTGGACAGGCCAACATGTGCTGGAGCCAGCTCGTCGGTTGTGGTCTACACGCCCCACATCTGGCTTCCACGCAGGTTGAATCGGACAAGCCAAAGTCTCAAGAACGACTTTGGACGGAAGAAAACTGCGATTTGGTCTGTTCAACGCCGCAATACTCAGCCGAATCTGCATTTTACCTCATGTTTGTGAACACACTTGAAGCAGTACCGAAGAGTTGTGCCATGAACTTGCATTTAAGGCAATTGAATTTGATGCAGTAGAACTCATCACTGATGGGAAAACCCCCAGAATCGTCCCGCCAACCCCTTGCTAGGCAAGTTTTGACCCATTCTCGCCCTCCCCTCCTTGCACAGAATATGTATAGAAGGTAAGGGACAATTAGAACCTAAGGGGAGACACTATTTTGCTTTTGGTACTCTTAACGTCAAATTGACGTTAAGCTCAGAAGCCCCCCTGCCCGCCCTCCTTAGCGTCAATCCTCATTTCGATTCCAGGATGATTGAGTAACATTTAATAGTGCCATAGAACGTCCAAACGAATCTCAGGGAAAAAACGACCGGAATTGTGGCGATTGCAAAGATTTGAAAAATCATGTGCCAAAAGCTATTATTGGCAATGGGAGCAGCCCTACAGCCTGAAAATTGATCCATTATAGAGAATTATCGACGATGGAAAGTCTGATGGAGGCTTTGGCAAAGCCGGCAATGCAACAAGTTATGAGCTAATTTGCCGCTGGTCAGCGGCGCTTTTGTGCATCTTCCCCCTTGTTTTGATTTTAGCGCAATTACATAATCCCTTGGCGTCAATGGCTGGAACCCTCCCCAAATAAAACCCTTAACGTCAATTTGGCGTTAAGCGTACCAAAATCAAATAGCGTCTTCCCTAACAGAAAATGGAGTGCCTGCCCTGTATAAAAGCCATAATCCCTTTGTTAGAAAGTTGCCCAAGATGCATGTTGACCTCTAGATTGGTAACTTCGATTCTCATGTGACCAGAAGTTGGCTTTATTACCGGTGTGTGCGCGCCAAGAACACACAAGCATGTGGCGATGCACTTTTGCGTCCCTCCTGGTGGCGAACATAATTCTCATGCGCCAGGAACATGCAGCAAGAATGTCTTATAACAGAACGAAACCCAAAATTTTGTATACTTTCATGTCGCCATCACCGTTGTTCATCACGCAGAGTTTTCGCCAATCTGCATATCTTCCACATGTAATCCCAACGCAATTTTTCTTTGTCATCATAGCAAAGACGTTCTCTTCAGCCAAAGTGCTCCATTGGCCCCATTGTCAACGGGCAGAACGAACTGTGCTTGCAGGAGCACCTTCGAAATTCGATGCATTAATCAAGTTCTGCCACTGGAGACAACTGTCCCATTTCGCACCGTTGTGGATGTGTTCAAATTATGTTAAAAGGGAAGAGATAGTGCATTGTACATCTGAAAATGTTGGCGCATAGTAACTCTCGCGTACTCTGCGGACAGAGTTTTTGCCCACAAACTTCTCGCTCACTCGACGGTGTGCAAACCCGAAAACCGCAGCACGCTAAGTTTGCGTTCAATCCCTCCAAATATGGTAGTTGCTTCGTGCACTGCCCGTCCCTTGGTCGCCAGGTGAAGAAGATACGGCGAGAGTCCTGGGCATCTGACAGCCTGACGGACTCTGTCCCCGACAGAGGTGTTTCTCCCCGCAGAGCACCCCCCACTCCCCCACACCCCACACCCCAGCGGCCCACGGTCGAGGTCAACTGCCTGCTGGCAACTCCAGGGACCCTTTGCGCTGTCTCTTTGCTAAGAGGGCTCATTTCGCAATCGCCGTTCTGCAAACTGGCCAGCCGCAGGGGCCCCTGACACCCAGGGCTTCTTTGGAGAGGGGTCAAAATGTTCGCCAGACTCAAGTTCACGATGCCAAAAGCTTGTGCAAATTTTTTGACGCAGTGCCTCCAGGGCAAATAGGCCAAAATTCTTGCATCTCGATCATTTTCGGTGTGCAGTTGTAATACTGGAAAACTTGACCACTGTTCGACCCAGCCACCTCGCTGTGATCGACGTGGGCTGCCATGCAAATCTCTGGATCGTCCCAGCTTTTGTGTCCCGCTCATGCCGCATCTTCTCGACATACGATGCTGAGCAAACAGATATTCGCATCGTTGTCTCAGCAGATTGCCAGTTGACAATCGTTGAAACGGCCGCACGAATATTCCCGGACCAAGTAATGCGGACGGGACAGGGGCCAATTGCATCCCACTCCAGACCACTGTCCCCGTTCAAATCCAGGCAAACGATTTAATCTTGAGATGAAATCGCGATCAGATCGCCGATTGCGGAGCAAGAGATCTCCCGTGGGCAAGTTTGCACTCTTTGAGAGGGGCCGGACCCTTCGCCGCGCTTTTTGGCCTTTATATTTCATACTTCATGTTGCATATTGCATATTGCATATTGCACATTGCCTATTGCATGTTGCATATTGCGTACTGCGTATTGCACATTGCGCAAGGCGCATTCCACGTTTCATACTTCATACTCTACCGGGCTTTTCGGCCTCCCGCCGCACTGCTCCACCTTCGCGCAAGCGCGCAGCCGCTCGCGCCGCCCGCGCCAAGCGCCAGCGTCCCCATGCCCCCAGCGGAGGCCGCGGCCGCCCGCCGGCGCCTCTTTCGAGTCCCGATCGCGCTGCCGGGGCCGCCTGCGGGCAGGAAGGCACCCGGGGACGGCGATAGCGAAGGCGCTGATGATCTAGACTCAAGACCACCCCTGCCTGGCACTCGCACGGCCACAGGTACGTTGGTTGGGCCCAAATTCCCTTGCGGTAATTTACCCTCCAACGACAAGACGCTGATCGAGGCTCTGAAGGGCGCCCCTGCCTGACCCTCGCTTGGCCGCAGGTACAATTGTTCTGCCGCTGAATTTCTCCGTTTGCATTTGCATTTCAAATTCAACAAGCTGACAATCGAGACAAAAGGGAGCCCATGACTGCCCCTCGCGTGGCCACAGGTGCAACGGTTTGGCCTAAATTCCCTTTCTTGAATTTCGCCTTCAAAAACAAGGTGCTAGCGATCGTGGCGCGAGGGGTCCATGCCTGCCCATCTCCTTGCCGCAGCTGCATTACTTCAGTGACTGAATTGGCCTGAAAAGAGGACTATTTTCATTTCATCCCCTAAATTACTTACAAAGCAACACTTTGCAAACAATTGCTGGAGTTTGCATTCGGAAAACGAAGCGTGGAGCTTGCGCCTTCCTGCCGATGGCAGACAATTTAGGTGCGCTGATTCAAACGCGCCCATCCGTAGATGACAGAGGGCATGGGTAATCGAGGCAGAGCCTGAAAGCCTGCATATCCACAGCGATCGGCACTTGGGTGATACAGAGTGCGCGGCATTCTTTTGGATGCGCATACGCTTGGATGCGCCGGCAGCACGTGGGCCGCGCCTAATTCCTTGAATGGGATGTTCGTCCAATTTCGCTGCCCTGCTTCGTGGCCATGTCCCCGTGGGCCGCACTGATGGCCCAGGGTGTGGGATCGCGCAGTGGGCACACTTTCCGCGCCGGAGGCAGCCAGAAACCTGTAGGGTGCATTCGCGTCATGGACAGTAATTCCTGGTGTCTGTAACAGCCCATTCAAACTGAAATCCGCTTTTATTTTCTGCGTTTTTGCGTTTGATATGAGCTGTTAATAAACAGCCCAGTTCAAAGTGAATTTCTCCGTTTCGGCTGGGCTAATTTCAAAAAATTTTCATGTCAGTGATGCGCAATTCGTTGATGTGGGCTGTGTCACGCAGTCCTAGCCCCGCCTTTTTTAGGCCAGTTCTCATCTGTGGCCGTTAGGCTTGTCTCATGGGCCCATACCATGGACGGCCACGCCAACAGGGCAGCACATCCGCTTCCGCCCACGCGCTGTTATTTGTTGTTGGAATGGCTGCACGTGATACCTTGGCCCCTGGTTTTGGTTGCTCGACAGCGACCTACAGACTTTGTGGTTCTTTTGTGCGCATCAGTGTGGGAGCTGCGTTGCCTTGCTCATGGTGCCTTTTTCTCTTCAGGGAAGGCGGCTGCTCAAGCGGCGCGACTGTTGCTTCCCACGATCGCGTGCTGCCTCGCAGCTCTGAAAATTTTGTAGAGATTTACAAGCTGGAACTGCTGAGCTCCCATTTATTTATAGGATGGATCCAACTGGGAAACAGGCCTAATCCTGTGTGTGAAAAATGGGTCAAGAATTTGAAAGGATATGATCTCGGAGACCAGCTCATTCTATCCGCGGCATAGCCGCATGTGGCCTTTGTGGATCCGCAAGCCTAACCACAGAAAACGATGCACTGGTGGTGGGTCTGCAAATGCAAAGAAAGGGTCAATCCATTGCGGTCAGGATTGCACATTCTCGGCCTGTGAAATACTCCTGTCATGAAATTCAAAGCCATATTCAGCCAAAATCCAAGCGATCAGGTCAAAAGCTGGCAGAAACACCAAGTTTATGAGGAACACGAGTTCGCCAAAACAAACAGTGTTTTCCCAACCACATAAGCTGTCCTGTTTCACCT